ATGTAACGTTACAAATTAATTAATATTCAACAGTTCCATCACATAAACATATTCTTCGAAATTATTGCGTGTGTTCTGAGATGAGGAAATTTTTACTATTCGCTCGTAACCGTCTTACTTCAGCAGATGTAAATATAATTGGTCTACGCGAACACTTCCTTATTACAGTAATGTAACATTACAGAATTACAGAGCAAATCTTTTTATAATGGACAAGACGGTTTATTTATTCAGGATATAGAAGAAACGATTAACATACATTTATAGTATACATTTATAAAATATTATTTCTTATATTGTTAACAATACAAAACGTATCTTTAACAAGTTATAAATATTAAAACGTAGATAATATGCGTTTGGACGAATATTTGTAAAAAGCTTACAAAAAAAAATATTTTGTGCAATTATAAATATAAAGCCCAGTACCTAAGCACAAGTAGATCACATACTTTGAATATTTATATTAAGTAAAGTATTAGTGGTTGATTTTCGAAACTTGAAACATCATAATGTCATAAAACTGAGATAGTACTGCTTTGAGGGATCATTTAGTATTTCAATAAAAAAGATTGATACAGTCTACGATTCAGTTATTAAAGGATAAAAAAATATGTACTTTGCATACTCTTTAAACTAATGTTTAAAAAACTCTATGAATAGAAAATCTTATGCTTTCCGATCCTATTTTCGCCACAAAACAAGAGTGCACGCAGAAATTAGTACGATTTTATGATTCTTTAGATGAAAGAATCTCGAACTTGATACCTTTTTTGTTCAGTTCTTCAATTAACGATGTTTTACCAAATGCAATACCAGGAGTTAAAACGCCGGCGCTGGAATAATAAAATGCAATTGTTAATATTTATTGATCCACAGCGAAACATAATACATAATCGAAGTAGAAGTAAAACACACTTTTCTGGTATTTTATCAGATTCTTTGAGAATCATCATCGCGGCAAGCAGTAACATTGTACATGTTGCACCATATCCTGGATCAACACCGCTAACTTGTGCGGTTAACACCTTATTTGGTGGGTCCTTATGATTATCAGTAGGTTCGGCCAATTTCTCGGTCCAACCTTTTGCTATAAATGTAAATTTAAAGTGGGTATTTTCCTGTACTTTTCTTGATGGGCCTTCGTGACTTACATATCCACAAGTGAAAAATGTAGGATACTAAATAAAGTACGAAACATGTTAATGTTATAACTTGTTTGCACATGACCAAATATTACAGGGAATACAAAAACTAGCATACTATACCTTCAACAATATACTACGGCCACATTCAAATCGAGAAAGTAAAGCAAAGACAGCAGCAAATATAATAGTCATTAACACAGCGAACAGAGATCTGTAATTGAAACATTAATATTAGTTCATACTAAAATCACATTTGAAATTATATAGAAGTAAAATAGTTACTTGAATGTAACATATGTCTGAATTTGTACTGGTCTTTGTTTATATTTTTCATAGAGAAATCTTTGAGTGCGTTGTACCACAGACCGATCAGCTCCTGGAAATATAGTGGCCCAACCAACTTCGGACTTATGAATCAAGTTTCTGAAATGAATATTGTAAATGTTAAGAAATAAAGGTTACATCATTGTATTTTCCACATATTTTATATGCATGAAGATCTACAGTCTACTACTAGTACGCATTATGTCTTCCAACCTTTTCTCCAATTGTGGCTGAAATGAGGGCAATTTTTCAGGATATAACTTTTTGCGCAATCCGCGTAACTCGTTATGATGGGCGACACCGTAAATAGCTGATTCATAAGTGCCGTAATGTATGACGGCAGAATCAACTTTCGTGGTTGTCCATGAACTCATATATGCCTCAATAGTATTAACTTCACCTCCAAATTTTTCTTGAGTAAAAATTACTCCAAGATCGCATGGGATAGAGTCAAACCCACAAGTGCTTACAATGTAGATACCAGCTTCTCTGGCTTCTTTATCATATTTCAACTGTATGCCTTCTACGTACTGTAGCATAAACAAAAATGTTAAAAATATGAAAATCACCAAGTGCTATTAATAATTTTTTAATGGTACCAGTTAGCAATATTTAATAGACAAAGTTGTTATCAGACCTGAGGTTCACCACTGACATCAATTTGATGAGTATGAGTAGCAATGCATGCTTTAATAACTGGTTCCCCATAAAATCTATATGGGCCGCAACAATTAACTAAAATCTTGGCTTGT